AGGCCTGCTATATCCTGTTGTCAAGCAATGCAAATAAAAGCTTGTAATTTAATGTAATTTATCTGAAATGTTTAGAATCATTAAGATTTTAGCTTTTGAATATTTCTGAAAAGTGTGTTAATTTCGAAACCTTAGTTATAAACTGTAAAGATATACTTGTATTATTAGCAAGGACTATTGGGTCCTTGCTAATAATACAAGTATATCTTTACAGTGCTATTCTAAGCATGGAGTTTAAAGTGAAGGTTAAATTAATGCGACACTAAATACGATGAATCCGGTTCACATAAGGGAGTTAAATTAATATCATCATCGTCATCAGAAATGTATGCGAGATTGGCTGTATCCGTAATGATGTTCTTTAATTAAGGATATTAAAGCTTTCTTTAATCATTTAAGATGATTCAAGGAAAACATTTACTATCCGCATTTGCTTCACCAGTTTTTGTGCCATGTTATAGTAATGCACTTTTCCTTTCATTTATTTAATCTTGCGGTGAATAATAACGTATATTTTTAAGCTCTTCGAAAATTTCGAAATAAATATTCACATTGAAGAATATAGCTTAAACAATAACATTTAGCTATAATCAAAACAAGAATTTTCATGATAGACGAAATCAGAGCGTAGCATTACTCCTGAAAGATTAAGCATTTCATATTCAAAATGTCCTCTCACTCAGTTAAAATTTTAGGCAGCAGATATTCAACTTAATTTCTGAGAGATACTTAAAATTAGTTAGTTAACTTCCTTTTTTAAGCAGTAATCTAATGTCATCTGCAAACGTATTTCTAAAATAATGATATAAATTACACAACAATTAACACCTGATAAGCGTGCCATTAGCATCTCGCCTACTTGTATGTCTATACTGAAAAAGCCATGTGACAAAAAAAAAAAAAAAAAAAAAAAAATATTTTTGAGGGGGGCATCGCGTGGTTCTGCTGTGTTTAAAGATTTCATAACCTTGACCCGCATCCGAAGGGCGAAGAAAGCGGCCGCTAGGCGAATACGCAGTAGAGGTATCGGAGCAATCCCTCCGCATCACTCGATCATTGCAACGTTTCATCTCTGCCAAGAGCAACCTACTCGTCATCACAAGAAAGCCAACTTTACAAGTCCTTTCTTCCACTGGTTTCTTATAACGCATGCTCTAAATTTGAGTCTTATTAAGTTACACAGCAGAAACAACGCATTGTAAATTGAAAATGTTTTAGGATCATTCCATACCCCAAAACGACTATAATCCGCATTAGTTTCAGTTTTGCAGATGATGATGTTCTTAAGGCGTTATGAATTTCATTTGTTGATTAATATATATACAACAGTGCTTCCACAATTGTGCTATCATTACATTATATATATATGGTTCAGATGCTTTATTCTGAATCATAAGAACTGCTTTCGTGAGCTGTATTGATTGATTTTTAAAATTTAAATTAAATTTTTCCTCGAAAGGAAGAATAATTAAAACTTTTATATAAGACATTTCTATAAGTTGACACAGTGAAATCGAAATATGAATTTGGGGCAAGGAAATATAGATTCTAACAGTTTAAGAAATAAGAATTTCAGGCAAAAATTCGAATGTAAGTTATTAGCAATCAAAAAATGCATTTCGAGAAACAATTTTGTAGAGTTCCTGCATTAGAAAATTTATTAACAATAGCATTTTTGTTCAAATATTAAACTTTTCTTTTTTACGATAGCATAATAACTCTGAAAATATATTCATGTAGCCGTTGCATTGTACCTCACATAAGGTGCTCTGCAATAAAAATATATTCTTAGATTTGTTTTGTTTTGCACAAAAAATATTTTTGATACATTCAAATGCGACATAAAAGTTTCTTATCAACATATGAGAGAAAATGGCTATATTTTAAATAAGCGTCATTTAATTACGAAATCGTATGCTTCATTCAGTGAAGTCAAGCGAGTAATATTTCAGCTTCGTCGAATCAGTGTTAGAAAATCTACTTTGTTGCTGACTTAAAATAAGATTATTAAATTGTAAACAATTTTGATGATTGGAGAAAATGCATGAAAGGGTGCGTAACTGGACAAAAAAAAAATGGGGGAGGAGATTTTATAAAATCTGTACTTTTTCTCTTTGTTTAAACTCTTCTTGAATCATTTGCGTAATATATTTTGAACAAAAAACTTAATCATTCTTCAACCAAATTTAACTATTTTTTTAATTAGTTTGAAATAAATAAAAGAACACTAAAACCTTCAGAAGGTCCGCAAAATTTCATACGGCTATCTCCACAGTCGACTGTAGCAACTTCAAAAAGTGCAGAATGGTATTGAGAAGCGAGCCTTGTTTTGCGGAATGCATGACAAAGGAGAGTTTTGAGCAGTTTTTTGAATTCAGGTAAACTGAATTTTGTGTACACAAGTAGTGCAATATTTTCTTCCATTTTGCTTTCCGTTTTCCTCACCCGCCCACAAAATGTTTAAACGAAATTAATAATATCGCTAACTAGCTTATTCACGTCAGAAACATCCTTAGTGTAGTTTTTCCAAATTTTAGGACAATGGTTTTTGTTATGTTACGTTACGCTACCTTCCCTATATTGTATACTAGACTGCAAAAGTGTTGACACTGCTCCAAACCTAGTCTTTAGTTTATCTTTCAAGAGACCTTGTGCACAATATGCTCTTAGAGTATCGTCATTCGATAATGAAAAATTTCTAATTTATCTTTCAAATTTAATTAGTCTGTAATTTGTTAACAAACTGAATCATTTAAAATCTTAATTTAAATCTGTATTATATTATTTACTAACACATCTAACTAATATGAATTAAAATAAATTTAATTTATAATGTTTCTCTCTGATAACTGTTATGAGCATTTGCAGCATTATTGTAACTGTATATAAAAAGTCTAATATTATTGTAACTGGGTATGTAAAAACTCTAACATCACTTTTGTATATGTGTACGTGCGTGTGTGTGTAAATGTGTAAAAGGTGTGCATTTTTTATGCATTCGTCAAAATCTGTGAAGGTATGGGTGCACAGTATGTCAAGTCGAGTTAGAAGAGGGTTTATGTTGTTTCCTCAACTCCTCCTCTTATTTCACATTCATTAAAAAATATTAAATAGTTGAATCCGCTATTCGGCAAAAAAAAACGAATTTTTTCTTTACCTTTTTCTTTATTTATTTTAATTTTTTCCCAAAATGCAAGAATTTTCAAAAGCAATAAATTTTGGTATAATGCCAACAGGCAATAAATTTTATAAAATTGCACCAGACTACAACTTGTTCAACTTTTCCCAATCAGACCTTTTTAATTTTTCCCTCCAAAAATGAAAAACACGTGAAATCTGGTAACCTGCACATTAAAAAAGCTGACAAAGTGGTTCTGAAAAATTTATATAGAGAAGTTTGTTCGTCAAACTTAAATACGGTATTCATCATTAAAATTTAGTTTTCCTATCCTACTTCATGTATCAATCGTTATTTTGGGAAGGGTCTTAAAATACAGAGTTCGATTTAGCGATGCCATATGTACTTCTCGTGCTTTAAAAAAGTGTATTGTAACTTGAAAAGATTTTAAAATAATTCCTTCGTATCACTTTTGTCGCAGTTTCTTATATTACAGCATTTATACGTTTGAAACATTAAGAAAAGATAATCTATTTGAATAGTGAACAATGAAACTCAAACAAAAAAAAAAGTCTATACGATAAAGTTTTCTTTGATGCGAAATTTAACAGAAAGATAAGAAGGTTTAGCAATAAGTCATGCAGTACTAAAACAAGGACGAAGATTGACTCAAACCAATGTATATAAAAATATATCGTAAAATGAACAAATTATAAACAAAGAATAATAGTTTATTTTCTAAACACAAAGCAGATGGCGCCTTAGCTCTGCCAAAATAGGTCATTATACACTCATGTATGTGGTTTAGTAGGTATGGAATTTACTACACAAAAGTCTTAAAACATGCACTTAAGAAACGTTTTTTAGTAAACATGAAACTGAAACGACACTATAGTAATTAATATTAAATCTTTTCTCATCCGTACTAAGCTTGATGCAAAATAAACTACATCTAGAAAAGGATTTTTGGATTATTCAGTTATGGCAAAGCACACGAGGGCTATCTGCCTAAAAGGGAGGGATGCCTTTCGTGGAGGACTTTCTAAGGGAAACTGGTTCGTATACACGTTACACATGGGGAAAACCACGAAAACGTCCATGCAGCCAGCCCGTTTGCGGGATTCGAACCTCAGACCGAACTACCAATGTTCAGCGTCTTTACCGCTCGGCCGCTGGTGGGCCTCATCTAGAAAAGATTTTAATATATTAAAGAAGGAAAATAAACTTAAGTTAATGGGCTGCAAACTGATAGAAGATTTTTTAGATTTCTATTAAAAGAGCTTAGCTTTAAACCAAGAAATCAGTCAATACTACTGTCTGGTATATTCAGTTCATAATTACTTGCTTTTAATTTAATTTCATTTTCAAAGTTTGAAATTTTGTTATTTATGATTTAATCAAGTCCCCGTAAAACATTTTTAATAATTTACATTCAAGTTACTTTAAAACACAATTTTCGGAATTAAACTTCCTACATATGGGTTCATTCTTTTTTGACACTTCTACTAAATTTATATTAGAAGATAATATAATCAATATTTCTATAGTGAATATATATATATATATATATATATATATGCCAGAGGAGTAAGAAATAGAGAAATAATAGCAAATCATTTACGCAAACACACACGAATTCATAGCGTACGAGGAAAGAATAAGAAAATCAAAAATAAAATTGGTAAACTAAGAGTAGCATATCATTTTGAAGATACAGTTGTACCATAAAGCTTAATATTAACGTTCCTTACATGCTTTGCATTCTTTGGAACATTTTAAAGAAACTGCATTCCCAATAATCATGCAGAGTCACAGAATTAAACTGCAGTATATCATAATAAGTATACATCCAGAATTACGATTTAGTAAGCATGGAACTTACCATAACCAGATGTAAAATGTGCGCTTAGAAAACTTTGTCTATAAAGGTAAAGTCGAAATGTTAATAGAGTTTTAAAATACAATTGCAATCGTCTGTTTACCTTGCAGAAAGTTTTTATCCTTTTTACAATACGTATTCTCTCAGATGTTTTTACTTTGCTTGTTTACTAGTATAGTGCGTTACCCACTTTATTTAAACTAAATAACTGATATAATTAACAGCATGTTTATAAATAAATTTCAGTAGCAAAACAATAACACACAAATCCTGAAAATCAGCAATGGGCAACATCGCAAAACTACACATTACTCAGGACTGATGATTAAGATACTGGATGCTAGAGAGATTCGCTGAGGCTGCGCTGTTGTCATGGAAACGAGGTAGCGGCCTCCCATCCGGGCCATCACCTAAAGCGGGCAAGTGTATGACGTCATACTGCCTCAGATGTTAGAAGACTTAAACATACTTGAGATGAACTGGAGGTATTTATTGTATATTTTATTATGCTCTATTTTGTGGCAACTCACATCTTCAGTACTTATCATAATTACTATTCTAAATTTTTAAATTACCAACTTAAAAATGTGTAATTTTCCTCTCAATAATATTTAGTAATATATATTTTTAAATTGATTGCAGCGGTGCGAATTCTCCAAAAGCAATTAAAATCATTGCTGTAAATCTCAACTGCTAGTTAGGCTCTCAGCTATATTGCAACTATGATTTCCGCTGTGTAGAAAAAAAGAATGAATAGTAGTTGCATACAAGACCCTGGTCTGCGGTAATTCGTACTATTTCACTGTATCGAATGAATTTTGAATAGGTATCTCCTCCAATTCATTTAACAGTTTTTAGGTTTTTATTCTTTAAAATTAGCATAAAAACCAACTCCGACATTACCGAATTCATCTGCTGTAACGTTTTCCTGAAAATAACTTTTAAATGCATTAGATACTGCTGATTTATTTTCCAAAAAAGACCCATAAACAGTATTTTAATAACTATTTGACTTGGTTTAGGCGTTTACTGTAACAAAATAAATTAAACGATTAATATGCCAATGCATTGCAAGAATTTTGGACAGTCCTTAAACAGTAGCTGAGCATAAATTGTGCTTAAAATATATTACCTACTTTTAGCTTCTTTTTTTCAATGAAATTCATTTTATTATTTTTAGCATTCATATGCAAAATATTCTTCATTTTAAACCATTTTAGATAATTTTTTTCTTATATTTTGTGTTTGCTTTGTTTCCCTTACAGAATTTCTACTTGGACTATTCTTTTTTAAAAAAATTCTTTATGATATTTTAACTCGCAAAGTAGCGAAATTAAATTATTTTGAAATTCTATTGTATTCAGAAATAATAATACAGTATTGTAAAGTGGGATATTTATGTACGTAATGATACTTCAAAATTTTTTAATTCAGCAGTGTAAACGAAGGTTCAAGATATATCTCTAGCCATACTGAACTAAAATATATTATAGCTACTTTCTGTTTAAATAAACCTGATAACAGTCGTTAGGAATTTATTACTAGTTGTATGAAACACCAAAGTTGATGACAATATCCAAGTGACAGTTTTCATGAGTTCACGAATGTGGACATACAATTTGAGAAAGCAATTTAAATTTACGCAGTGAAGATAGGCGGTTTCGGAATATTTCTTGACACGCCTGTTCTACTTATTCTGCTTTTACTTCCAATAGCAATCACAGTTCAGTTAATAATAAATTCAGAACTTGAAAAACTTCAATAGTTTTTCTCAATTAATAATTTTATCACCAAATCCTAGAAGCAAAATTGGTCTTGTTCACAATTTTTTTCTATCTTTTAGACAGCATCTGAAGAGCACAATTTACGCAGTATCAAAGATGAAACATAAAAAATTGAATACCACAAAGCAGCAAATGAAAGCCACATTCATATACATTAATAAACTTGAAAAGAATAATCAAGCCAACAATTAGCTTTATCAAGCGAAATCTTTCCACATTAAGGGAAAATTCCGAGCAAAGTAACAGCTGACACAATTAACAGTACGTCTTAATTAGTTTCCAACAGGATATACAAAAATAAAGTGTATATCCGTAGAGTAATATATTACCTTTCGGTGGAAAATCTGAGTACTGATGACTCCCCAGAAATATTGCGGTACAATTTATTAAGTTCAAACTCGCAGAATCCTTCATCACAGAAAAACGTTGCTTCAAGTTTTATCTGGATATCCCAATAATCCCCAAAACTTCATCACATTGATAGAGCCGCAATACAGCAATTTTATAGGTAGAATATTTTCTACTTTACAAGTAAAATGCTACTATAAGGATTTTAATTCATAGACATGGAATTAAATTTATCAAATGAAACACCAAATTCACGCGATATGAATTAAGACTAATGTGTCAGATCTTAAATTATAAAAAATTTTAACTGCACTCAGAAATGCTCTCATTCTTTCAGAAATACTAATATCTCAAATATTCGGGTATTTTATTTACTGCGTTTCAATCATAAAGGTAAGTAAGGGAGGTACAAAAATCTCGGTCCGAAACGTCGATAGTGACTTTTAAGTGAATAAGCACGAAATAGGATCCTCACAATTCCTTGTTTTAAATTTCATGGCTTCACAATTCCTTAAAATGCTTTTTGCTATTTAAAACGTGGAACTGGCTATAAATGTGATTACGTGAGTTTTATCAATGATGTAGCTATGTTCTGGCCACATCAGACCTTTTAATTTATGAGGACATTCTTCGTACGAGTAAGATCACAAACAAAGCAAAAACTTATGCTGCAGGAAAAATGAATAATGCACGTGGCATAATTACATGAATTCTATATGCCCTAAATTTTGCTTCAAAATCGATTCATAAAGAAGGTTGTTCTTTGACCTTTTTTATCATATTCAATTTTTGCTGAGAAATGTTTTATTAAGCGGTAATGAAAACAAACCCTTAGGAGGAAATATGTATTGAGATTTTCCTACTACGGGCTTTAACGTCAACTGTTACCAACCACAGAGGCTGCTGGTTTTTGCTGAAAAAAAAAATAACTCATATATTTAATTTCTTGAAAGTATCTTTGTACTTATATTTATGTGTGATTTATCAAAATAATACTCATTAATAATAGATTAAGAACAGTGAGATCAACACCACTTACTTTGTGACAAAATTAGAAATGATCTTCCTTTTTTATATATGTACAATATACAGGATGGTCATAAAAAAACTTCCCCATTACATAAAACCCTAGCGGCCTATCCGCTCAGCCAATTGAAATAAAATTTTAGATATTGTTATTTGAAGGTATGTGCTTGAGATTGTGATGAGTTAAAGCAACAGAGCTCTCACAGTTCCCTCTACGGTAAAAAGATTTCGAAATTTTCGAATGGCAACACCCGCTGTTTCCCTGTGCAAAATAATTAGCTCACTGAAAAAGCATAAATGGCTCTGGAACGATACATGTCTGCAACGGTGAGCACATTGAAAATTTGTAATTCCAATAAAAGCCCTTTCCTCTCTTGTGTTGTCATTGGTTCCTTACACTGGTCTGTTTTGAAGATGTTTTACGCCTGCAATTTTCGTCATACGCGTATATTTTCAAAGTCATTTATGGTATTTCAATGAGCTGATCAATTCGAGCGAGAAAAAAGGTAGATGTTATCACTCGAAATTTTCGAAATGTTTTCACCACCCCGTAACTGTTTGAGTTCTATTGTTTTAAACCGACATAATCTAGAGTGCATACTTTCAAATAACAATATCTGAAATTTCATTTCTATCGGTTGAGCGGATAGACCGCTAGCATATTTCACAAGTGCACATCTGTGTAGCTACCGAGGGAGTGCCCTCTAGGATGGACCAATGATCCAGTAATATTTCTGTCATGTCACATGACCTTTCACGTGCTTTAAGATTTAAGCAAGATGGTTGAAAATATTCTGCTACCCAATGTTCTGTACAAAATACTAATTAAAGAATCATTGATTGTTTCTGAAACTTTTCATTGCGAAGTTAGATCAAATATAGGAAATTATGAAGATTTCAGTACCTGGTTGAAATAAATACAAACACATGTTGGATACTTCGCAAAAATATCGATGTGAAATATTACTTAATAAGTGGTAAATAAGATGAAGAAAGAAATATGTGATAAACATCTGAACCCAAATACGATCTTTACATAAAACTATGCGTATGAGAAAAATATTTACACCAATTACATATGTAGATTATGAAAAAATGATATGAGAAAATATGAGAAAGTATTTACGTAATAAATACTTTCTCATAAATATGAGAATATGAGAAAGTATTTACGTAATAAATACTTTCTCATAATATGAGAATCATAAATATGAGAAAGTATTTACGTAAGTAAGATATGAGAAAATATTTACACCAATTACATAGTATATTAAAATAGAAGTCAGCACTTTTAATTGTAGTCTATATGAAAAAGATGTTCTATAATAATAACCAATGCAGAACTTTATTCAAAGTGAACTTTACTAATTTGCATTATACATTTAGTGTGTTAAATTTCACATTTAATAGCTGCTCATTTTTAAATGAAAGAAACACGAGAAATTCTCATCAAACAGAGTGAATTTATCTTATTCACAAAAAGTATATTCAAGTTATTCACATATATTTTTTAATGTTAACAATGGATATAATCAGATTATATGTGTTCTGAATCTTGCACTTTAAAAAATAAAAAAAAATGCAAGCACTGAAATAAGAAAACACTAGATTCATTGTAACACTTTCAGCCATTCTTACCTCAATTAAAAAAAAATATACACTTGAATTCTCTTAATCCACATAATATGCCGTGAACATCAATCCAAATATTAATGCGTGATAAAAATCGCGAAAGTGAAATGTAGCGATTAATCAAACTCAGAAAACGAAAGCACTATGAGATTTTCTACGACTATTACGCCATATATTTATAACTACGAAACAAATGAAAATTAAAACATAAACAACATACGCTCACATGCACGAAGATTTAGCGTCACAAGAGCATCAGCAGCTCATTGGTCCTTTTTCGAAACCCCTCCCTCAGTGGCTACGCTGATGTGCACTTATGAAATACGCAGATCGCTATGGGTTTATGTATGTATCGGGGAAGTTTTTTACGACCACACGGATATAAGGATATGACTTAATTATTTTGGTACAACAGGTTGAAATCTATGTCAAGTTTTTCATGTTTGAGATATTTAATAACTGGTAAGGTTTTAGGTGATCTATAAGATACGATTATTAGTATTATTTTTTAAGATTGTTAGTGTTATTTTGTTTTAGTGTCTTTTGTTCTTTTTAAGAGTATTTTAATAAGAGATGCAACTGGTACTTCGCAGCTTGTAACTGTTTAATTGTAACTATTTATTAGAAGAATAAAAGCATTTCATTAATTTTGGTAGAAAAGGATTACAGAATATTTTAGCATAAATTCTTATTCTGCTGCACGTTACGAATTGTCTTTCTGTTTCTTAAGATCTTTTTCCTAATTTGGATATTTATGTGAAAATTTTCTGCCCTGAAGTTTAATTAAAGGATCCTTTAAAAGATCAATATTTTGATTATAATCCTGAAGATTTTGTTATTTAGTTTTTCACACCTGCGTAAGAAACGCAGGTGAAATTAATTTCGCCATTCCCGTATATACTGCCACCAGTGGTCGTGTGGTAAAATCCTGAAACATTAGTAGCTAAGCTCGGATTTAGTTTTCTGTGACTAAACGGGCTGGCTGCCTGAGATTTTCACTATATTCCTCTGTGTAATATAATTACGAGACAATGTGCCTTAAGTTTGTAGATTTCCTCACATTTATCTTCTTAAATGTAATGTCGAGGAACCTAGTGAACTGCTAAACGAATAATCGCTTAAGTCCAAGAACAGAAACGTAAACTCAACAAGGGTTAATTATCCTTTATTTGCTCCAAATAAAGATATACAGTCAGCCACTTTTTCAGGGCGTATAACAAAGCCTCCGCTTGGGCCTGAACTCAAAATGTGAGATAAGAACTAACTAATGACTCACTAAAGAGATTTAGCCGAAGCTAACACAATTATAAACTAGTGGCCTGTAATATTAAATTAGCCAGTGAAGCTTGTAGAGACATTAGGTATTTTTGGAAGCAGGCAAGATGAAAAATTAGCAACGCGTTTCGCCGGGAATCGAACCACGGACCTCTGGATACCGACCCAGGGTGCAGAACCACTACACCACGAAGGCACGCTAGGAAGGTGAGAGAAATACCTTATATACTCCCCGTTTTAAAGGGCGACTGGGGTTTTTAGGGGACCCAATCACCAAATTCTGCGTGAGGAGAATCATCATCCAATACCCTTTTTAGTTCGGCGCCACTGTAGAGAGATTAGGTATTTTTGGAAGCAGGCAAGCTAAAATTTGAGCAACGCCTTCACCGGGAATCTAACCGCGGACCTCTGGAATACGCGCCCAGTGTGCAGACCACCACACCACGAAAGCACGCTAGGAAGGCGGGAGAAATACCTTATAAGCTATTAAAAGGCACGTAATACGGCCGAGCATAATAACAGCTTAGAGCAGCGATTCTCAACTGGTGGCGCGCAAAGAAACAAAGTATTTTTAACGATTAAATTCAAAAATTAAATACGCTAATATCCTGTTTTTTTCCCCTCTAACACTCGTAAATTTATGCGATATGAACTTTGTCAAAGGTCAATAACAGCTCATAGACTTTAGCAAAATATTCCGCTTTTATTTTCACAAATATTCTGTTAGCCACAGACATAAAAAAATGTGTCATAAATGATGCTTTTGAAACTAGTAATAGAAATCAGTGTTGTATAAGTATTTAATGGGAATAAAAATAAGTTCCTACAAAAAGATCTCGTTAATTCTTTTAGAGTTGGTCGATTTATTATCCATGTCTACACTTTATGTCGCCACCATTTTCGGGCTCATGTTGCTCTATTTTCAATCAGAATGATTTGCATCGCTTTGCGGTCTCTAAGAGCAGGTATTTTGTCTTCCAGTTACTTCGTATTTCTTAGTTTTCTACGCGATTTGAGAATATCGTCGTTTTTGTTTTTGAAGAAATCGTAATATATGTATTGCGCGTTTAAATATTTGTGAAAAAATAATAAAACAAACCTAGATTTTTCAATAGGCAAAAATTGCTAGGATTGACTAAGCGGGAACGTGATAATTTACAGGTGATGGATCTAGGACAATCTACTAGCACTAAGAGCATTGAAAAGAAAAGACAAATTGTTTATAGAAAATACAATGAAAGTTATTTATCATTTGGGTTTATTTGAAATGGAGATGAAATGGGCATTCAACTTCAGTGTGTTGTTTGCAGTGAACTATTATCCAATCAAAATGTAAAACATCGTTTCTTAAAAGACATCTTGAATCTAAACATGCCAATTTAAAGGATAAATCTGAAGAATATTTTAAGAAGAACTTATCGGAGTTCAAAAATAGTAAACAAGTAATGCAAGGTGGTGTTACTTCAAATAAAAATGCTTTTTAAGCTAGTTACCTAGCAAGCCTAAGAATTGCCAAGACAGGGCAGGCTCACGCTATTGGAAAAAATCTTATATTTCCAGCAGCTAAAGATATCGTTTTAACATTATTCAGCGAAAAAGTGGCTAATGAACTTAATAATATCCCATTATCATTTTACATAACACAACACACATATATATGTTCATATATATATGCGAGAGAGTGTGTGAGAGAGAAACATAAAAAACAGAATATAAAATCTGACTTTTTAATAAGCATGAAGTTGCAATAGGATATAGCAATCAATATAGATTTAAGTTTGGCTATGTAAGCGTAAAAGAAGAATTTAAACATTGTGAGTTTCTGCCATCTATAGCCAGTTGACAATGTATAAAAATGAAATTATAATATTTATAATGTGTAAATATTAGAATTAAAGTAAAGATAAATTTGAAGAAATTAAAAGGAAATTACTGATTAGTGAATGTTGAAGTAAAAACCAATGGCACACAGAAGTAATCCAAAAATAATTGACTTATTTTATTTTTACTAATCTTTAATTTCATATACAAATAATAGAATTTATGCAAAAAATATATATATAAAGCATAATCAATGGACATAAAATAATGTGTATGCTTCATTGGGGGAGACAGCTTATATTCCTTTCCATTAGCTGCATTTCTGACCTCACTAGTCCACTTAAAATAATGTTCAGAAATATTTTAATAAAGTAAGAGACCAAAATATAACATTGATAGGGAGTGAACTGATGAGTCTACTCTTACATAGCTCCAGAGTAATTGGGGGGAATTAAACAGATTAATAAAATATGAAATAAATCTATATCCGTTGGTATATTAGGCCTTAAAATGGCAAGGTACTGTGAAGTGAAAAAAATTTTATAGAAGAAGCCAATAACAATAAGAATATCCAACAAATCCATTTAATCTCAAAGTAAATAATTAAATTTAAAATAAAATAAACCACTAATTAATCAAGAAAATTGGGTGATACAAGCCATTAAATTCAGTGCATTCATGCTTACCTTAACATTATTCAACGAAAATGCGGCTAATGAACTTAATAGTTTTCCGTTATCAAATGATACAGTATGTCGACGAATTCATGTAATGGAAAATTCTATAAAACGGACATTTATTCAAAAAATCTGATGTGTACACTACATGATTTCCTTGTACGGAATATTAAATTATACGCATTTTTTCCTGCATTTCATTTAAACTTATTGGATTGAAGTAACCCTTTTGCCGTCCTCTCCTGTCCGCGAAAATTTCCCATCAGCGGCTGTCTGTTTTTCGTAGCGTGTAATGTTGTTTTCTCTTTACATCATAACTTTCCATACATGACTTGGTGGATGAATGTCAATGAATATTAAGTAAAATTATAAGGAAATAAAGCATAATGGAAAAATAATAATATCTCTGCTTATTTCTAACAGCAGGATAATTTGATAATATCTGATCTAGACGGTCCACTCCTCCCATTTTGTTGTTGTAATCTTTCACAATTATTATTTTTTTTTCAGTTCTTTTCCGTGTTCCAACATCAATCATCGAGTTATTATGGACTGTACTCATCAAACGTATATCCTTCTTGTCTTTCCAATTCACAACCTCATTTTTTTTCTTTTTCTGCTGACTAGACGTTGAAGCCATCTCTCACTGTCTTGTATCTTATGTAAAATGGCGCAAATAGTCATAAAACCCGGAGCAAATTAAATTAGAAATAGAATGCCTGATTAATGCTACCATCTAGGAGGTATTAAAACAAACAAAAATAAAAACTCAAACACGTTAACATTTAGAAAGCGTTTTAATGTTAAAGAAACGAAGAACCTTGAGGCGCACGGCCGCTCTGCGGAAGTCACTTGTCCGCTGGGCGTTAACGACGAAGGTTAATCTTTTTTAGCGCATAACAATAGATAAGCACTTTTAAAACTATACAGTAGACGTTCGTTTTTACGAACCTCTTTTTTACGAACACTCTCGATTTGACGAACTAGCGAATGGTCCCGAATACACTCCCATAGATGTAATGTAATTTTGCGCTCTTATTTACGAACTACAAATCAGGAAAATCTCTTTTTTTGCGAACTCAGTTTTCATACTTCTGCGTGTTTCATTGGGACGAAGTGTGAAGGTCAAATAAAATCTCCAACTATTTTGAGGCAGCAAGTGCGAAACATTCGAAGAAGTACAGTAAGAATTAGGACAAATTTATGGTGTTGTTTGTTGTGGGAGGCTCTCAGAAGAGCATCGGCCTGATGTTGTTGGGTGGGGGTGAGACCATTCGTGTTAAAGGGGTTTGGGTTGCTTCTAAAAGAGAGTTGTTGCTTTTTGTAATGTCATAGTCATTTGATCTGGACAACTCAATCAGTGAAGTCTCGTTAGTCGAGAGGGAGATTGGGCCAGTTTTTGTTAAGTAAGATTCTTAGAGCTATGTCGCAAATGAAGAAACGAATTTGTTTAGCGGTTGAAATAAAGAAGAAGATTTTAAAAGAAGTTGACGAAAAAATATTAAGCAAGACACAAATTGCTCAGAAAATATGGAATTCCTAAAAATAGTTTATCGACGACGATTTTAAAGGCAAGAGAGAAGATCTTTGGAGCTAAAAACGGAAACGATGAATGTGGACCCTCCTCTCGAAAATATTTTCGAGAATCAAAACACCCAAATTTGGAAAGGGCTTTGCTTGTTTGGTTTCGAAAGATGAGAAGCTTAAACATTCCAATTGATGGAAATGTACTTAAAGAACAAGCACACTTTTTTGCTTCCAAATTAAACATCAAAGATTTTAAAGCATCGGATGGTTGGTTACAGAAATTTAAATTTCGGAATGGTTTGAGTTTCCGGAAAGTGTGTGGTGAAAGTGCAGCAGTAGACACGTCATCAGCAAATGAATGGAAAGAAGAAAAGTTGAAATTGCTTCTTTCTGAATACGCTGCAGATGACGTTTTTAATGCGGACGAAACGGCTTTGTTTTTTAAGATTTTGCCAGAAAGAACATTAGCTTACAAAGGAGATAAATGTGTTGGAGGTAATAAAGCTAAAGAGAGACTTACAGTTTTGATTGCAGCCAACATGACTGGGTCACAAAAATTGCCTCTGCTCTTTATTGGAAAATATCTGAAACCAAGGTGTTTCAAAAATGTTCAGAAGATTCCTGCTGCATATTATGCTAATAATAAGGCCTGGATGACTGGCAACATCTACGAAAAATGGTTGAGAGATTTAGATAACCGTTTTTCAGCAGAGAAGCGCAAAGTTCTCCTAATCGTGGACAATTGTACTGCACACATGGAAGTCACTGGGCTTCAGGCAATCCGTGTGGAATATCTCCCACCAAATGCAACTGCAGTTTTACAGCCAATGGATCAGGGGATAATCAATAGTTTCAAGCGAAAATATAAGACAGTGCTCTTGCAAAGAGTAATCCTTGGCTTGGAAAGGGAACAACCTTATTATCAGATTGATATTCTTGGTGCAATGCATTTATCAATCAGTGCATGGAATGATGTTTTAGATGAAACAATTTCTAAAGCCTTTCGACATGCAGGTTTTATTAAAGAAACAGACGTAACTGAAGAAATCCATGACAATAGATCTCACGACGAAGATGAGGTTCTCATGCATGAACTTCGCCGTAGAAATCCACAGTTGCCAGAACTTTCATTCGAGGATTTTTTAAATGTGGATTCTAATGTCATCTGCACGGAGGAAAATATCGGATCACGATATTATTAGCAGCATAATCAACGAGAATGAGAGACTTTCAGATCCAGAAGAAGAAGAAGAAGAAAATGAAGTAACACCAAGACCGACTTTAAAACAAGCTGCTGAATACTTGTCAGAACTTAGACGATTTTTTGAGGCCAGTGATAATTGTGAAATGCTAACAAATATAGAGAAGATGGAGTCTTGCATTGTACAATCTGTTGTTTTAAAACAGACAAAGATAAGTGATTATTTTGTTGCTCAATGACTTAATAAAGGTACGTTTTACAAATATTTTATATTTCTTGTTTGTTTAATAGAATGGATATCATTTATTAAGTAGTAATACTATTAAAAATAATTCCTAATACATAAATAAAAGCATGGAATAGTATCACTAACCTGTCTCGAAAACATTAAAATGTGAAATACTAACGATTTCCGATGCCTTTCTAAATTACGAACTCTCGATTTAACGAACTGTTTTCGTAGTCCCTACGAGTTCGTAAAAACGAGCGTCTACTGTATTTGTTTACCATAGCAACACTCTGGCGCTAGATTCACTTAACAGTGTTACATTTCATTCATTTTATAACTCAGAATGCATAAAATTTATATCATCTGAAGAATTATCTAATCGTTGCCACGTGTTCTGTTCAAATACTATAATAAATCTAAAAAGATGTATAAAAGAAATTAATCAAACAAAAAAAAAAAAAAAAAAAAGAAAGAAAGAAAGAAAGAAAGAAATATTTTTTTACAGACGATTCAGTGTTTCTCATTCAATTAATTCGGTTCTCACTTCGCCACAAGGCAAAAATACATAAAAACTCAAAATATAAAAACTCAAAATATTAAAAATTATGAGGTAAATCTTAAACACTTATTTCCTCGAATAAATTCCAGAATAGATTAAGCATGATTTAGTTTGCAAGAATAAAATAAGGCGTTATCTTTGTTGTTGCGAAGCTTAGTTTCTCTAGATTGGCAACAAATCCAATATTCTGCCAAGTTTCAAATGTAAACAAATATGGCCGCCATGTCAAAAATAATTAGGCTTAGCCGCACTTAAACAACTTTTACAATTGTCTATAATTCTACAAATATTGCGTAAAGATTTACTAAAGGCATAAAAACCTTAACCGGAAGATAAGAACAACATAATTCAACCATTTTTAAAGCAAAAAATGCACAGTTTACAAACATATAAGAATACTGATACTGTCGACTGCAACCAAAATACGAGGTACACATCTACATGCTATAGCAGTCCTATATACAAAATTTCAACGTTCTGAGGCTACTCGTTTTTGACTTATGTGAGATATGTACGTACAGACGCCACGAAAAATTCCCTTCAGAATACATTTTAAATCAGTTTTTATAATTTTTTTTGGGGGGAAAGAGTCCTTTATTCTGTCCTTAGGCTCAGATGTCACGCATAAACATCGTTAAATTGCATTCGATAGCGGTCAAAATGGATATTTTCGTTGAAATATGATACCTGAAATTTTTCGCGATTACAATACTTTTAACTTCGTACAAGGATGTAAAAACGAAACACAGTGAGTATTTCGCATTCTAGTTGGAGGAAAGTACTGATATAAATAACTTTGTTCAATTATTAGTTTACATATGTTTCGATGAAGATAAACGATTTGCAAAAGAGTATTTATTTTGTGAATCTCTTTCTGATAAAGCATCTGCAAATGAAATTCTCAAAGTAATTGACAATTTTTTGTCTGATAATGATATTCCTTGGAATAGATGCATCGCCTTATGCAGGGACGGAGCTCGGGCCTTTAACAGGAAAATTTTCCGGTGTTATTTCTCAAATAAAGAAAGTCTCAGCTGAAACTAAATTTACTAACTGCTTCATTCATTGTGAAGTTTTAATAGCCAAAACAACCCCTGAAAACCGTTTTGAATCAAGCTGTGAAAATTGTCAATTTTATTGAAAGCCGAGCTCTAAATTCAAGAATATTTACGATTTTATGCCAAGAGATGGCCAGTGAACATAAAACGCTTTTGTTACATTCCAAAGTAAGGTGGCATTCAGAGACAAAGTTTCAAATCGTCTTTTTGAACTTCGATCAAAAATTAAAATTTCCCTCTCTGATTCAAAATCTGAATTGGAAAAATGTTTATTTAGTAAATTATGGTTGGCTTGTTTAGCATATTTTGCTGATATTTTTGGAAAGTTAAATGAATTAAATTTAGGATAGCAAGGACAAAGTCTTAATTTGTTTACCATTAGAGATAAAATTAATGTAATGATAAAAAAACTCGAGTTAATAATCAAAGAATCGAATAATAATATTTTTAACTTTTTACCGCTTTTTGAAAGTTTTTTAATCGAAAATAATTTGAAAAATGAAAGAAGAATTAGCATCTGCAATTAAAAATCATCATTTTTCATTGATAAATAATTTCAACGTGTATTTTTCCGAGGATTATAGAAAAGAAAATTGGATTATAAATAGATTTGTGCAAATGTACCTGAAATTTTATCTCGTGAAGGAAAAGAACAATTGATAGAAATTTCCTGTGATCGAATTCTAACTGAAGATTTCAAATACAAAACACTTGTTAACATTTGTCTGAACCGAAAAAGAGAATTTAAAGGCATTTCAAATAAAGCTATTAAATATTTGTATTCGTTTTGCATAACCTATTTGTGTGAGCGAGGGTTTTCTTCCACGTTATATTTGAAAAATAAATACAGAACAAAATTAAAAGTGGATATTAATTTATGGTTAAAATTAAGTGACATAAAAGAAACTGATCTTTCTTAAACAGGCCCAAATTTCGCACTAAATTTTAGAATTAAAATATTATAATTTAAATTTTATAATTAAAATGGTAACCAATTTTTAATCTAATATTTTTTACGTGTGCATGTTTAATAGAAATAACCAATAAGTTGTGCAAATGGCAATATACATATATTAATTATTTTATACTGTTCGTCGATACTTTGTTTAGATACAACGTCGAGGAACCTAGTGAACTAAGTAGAGAATTATTGCTGAGTTCCAATACAGCGATATTGGACAGAGACGTGAGAAGGTTAAAATACTTTTTTATCACTCAAAGAAATAATAACAGATGACCCCTTCTCGGGCTTATAAGAGAGCCTTCACTTGGGATTTTAAATCAGAATAAGAAACTAAACTAATCTAATACTCACCTAAATAGACTTAGCCGAAGTTAGACACAAATACCTAACATAGTGGCATTTAAATTAAACTAGCCGGGGATTCTCAACAGGCACGTAAAATACGGTACGGTCGAGCGTAATAGATTGAAGAAAGAAGTAGCCAGAAAGAGAGCGCTTAGGCGTTCTTAGTGACGCGTGTTAGCAGAAGGCAAACACGCACCACTAAGAACGCCTAAGCGCTCTCTTTCGAAGTATGTTGAACTCACTTTAAATACTTTTTCTAACTCATTCGCATTCAACGCGACTCTAAAACCTCATTCCAGTAAGGAGTTGTAAGTGGAAAACAAGAGTTGAAAGGAAAAGGTTTCAAAATTAAAATACACCTTACAATTTCTATTGAGAAGTTGAAAAATAATCATTGTAAAATGTAGTGGTGGTACTAAAGTTTTTCAGTTTTTGCTTAGATGGTACACGTTAGTCAAAAGGTTGAGAACCTCTGGCTGAGAGAGATGTAGCAATTGCATTTAACGCGATTCTTGAAGCTACATTTTTCCCCACCAAGAATTTAAGTACGCAAAGAAAAAGTTCAGTTTCACTCCTGAAATCGAAGTTTTAACTTCCTTTTAGAGCCAACTTTACAAATGGTCTAAACCTAAGTGAAAACTAAGATAAATAAAATCATTTTTACAAAAATTCTTGCTTGGCTTGAGGTACATACATCCTCTTAATCTTGAGAACATCATCATATAAACTCTGGTTCTTCCAAAATATCTGGTAGGAAGGATTAGTATTCGGTACTGGGAAAAATTTTCTAAACCCCCCTTCAATTTACGTTTTATTACATTTATTTGGCCCTCAAACAGATCTCCTTCACTCACATTTTAACTCATCCCCACCCCCACGCTCTCCAGAAATTCGTTCTGTTACGAAATGAGCCTCTATGTGTTGTGTTAAAACGAACAACGCTACCAACTAACCATCTGGCTAACAAAAATTAAATCTAGACACACTAGACCTCCGACTGACACCTTAATGTCAATACCACACCCAGTGTGCTACACACGCGAAAGTGTTTTAAGTTTGTGTTTGGCTGGGGAGCCAAACTCAAATACACATTCATTCTATACTTTCTCTACAATCTTTCATTTAAATAAAGTTTTCACATCTTGCATTTAAACACAGTTTAAACTTTAAAGCACTTTTACAATCATGTTATCATGTAAATTTACTTTCAGCACAAACACTTTTACACATTTAACATATAAAATTTTAGATTAATTTTACATCACAGATTGCACAGCTGCTATACATAGTTTACAATCTTTTCCTGTAATTTAATTTTAAGTTCTAGTTTTACAACAATTTTCATCGTAAATTCAAGTCTTTCCGACTAAAAGATATTTACACTACACTTTCTCGCAAACTTGCGATCTCAAAAATCTTGCTTCTAGCGGCATTTAACAATTGTTCTCACTTGAGAAAAGAAATTTTGAACAAAATGATATAAATTAAACTTCCGTTCTAAATGAGAAAACAAAGAAAATTTTCACTTATCTTTTTGTTTTCTGTACTCCTCCCATTTTGCAGCAAAATGCCTCCCAACTGGGATACTTCAGGTTCTGCACTCTAATCTTCCTACTAGGAAGACTTCCATTTTCTCCCGGGAATTGTTTCCTTTTCTTGCCTTTAGCAGTGAAACGGGCTACCTTTCTTGTGGGTTGAGGATCTTTATAATCTGCCCTCTGCTTAATTTCGTGCTGGGTAGTTCTTTCCTCCGGGTCTTTTACTCTCTTTTTGGACTTCCTTGTCTGCTGGAGCGACGTGGATACCGCCTCGACTGACCTTTTCTGAGAATTCTTCGTGCTGAATC